GCGTTTTCATTTCGCAGACTTCGAACGCCTCGTATGGTATAAATGCTGAAATGCGTTTACGTTGGGTCAGGTTCGTACCAAATAGCGGTCAAGAAGCTATCTGGGACAGCCCTGTACTGATGAGAGCCAACAGCTCGAAACCGGTCTGCAGGTATAGTCATTCGTTCCTGAACTACTTAGGCGCAGCTCGGTGTTTAGGAAGGGAACACTTGCGATTTGATTCGTCCATACCAATTATTGCATTGATTTCGGGAGGATGTAATCCAATGTTTACAAATACAGGGTCGTGCAGAATTCAGAATCTTGATCACCCGGTATATGTCCCAATTAAATAATAGTAGATAGTTAATCAAAAGTTGAGATAGGGACATGTAAGCCGTTTTGACCAATAATGAATAGTTTCGACAAAAAAAATCCTAAAGTTGAAAAATGACGATTTTTCACATCCTATATCTCTGTAAGCATTTCCGCTAGACCCCGAGTGTGATGCATCGATGAAATCAGCTCTTCAGAGAGAATCTGAAAATGCAATAAAATACAGGGTGTTCCATTTAAAATAACGAAGTTGTTGCTACTTTTCGATAGAAGCGGCAACGCCGCAGAGCTGAAAATATTTTAGATCGATAGACCAAGAGCAACTACGTGAGTAACCAAAATTTCAGAATGATCCTATGTCCCGTTCTCCGTAAACGTCTAACGTACCATGGACCGTGAGTTACCCTGTATGCAAATACTGAAAAATCATAACGTGAACGGAATAATGAATTTTAAATCACCCCTACCTCAAATCACTATCTCACTCCCTGCGTGTTCTAGGATAAACTAAAAGACGGAGACATCTGATGATACTGATATATGGTGACGTAATAGTTCTTCTTCTTCTAAGTAGTGGTAGGTGTAAAATCAAAAATGGTCCACAGTGTACGGCTCTTCACACTGGGACAGATTACCCTACATGTCAATAAATGTCAAAAAATAAACTATGGTAACATTATCTATATTATTCATGCATACACCGTCTTTGATGCACATGGTTTGAATCAACACTCTGCTGATATAAAGTTATACTTTATGGGGAATTATTCATATTGATGAAGTTTTCTTCAACTTTTACGTACTTATTTCATCATCTCCAAATTATATACCGCTTTTATTCTCGATCTGGAATTGACCTTGTATAATAAACGATAAATATATTACACTGGGTCAAAATTTTCACGGTCAAATTCCTCACAATGAAACCTTGTTGTTCCACCCTTGTCACGCATTTTTTTTTCGACGGAAAAAACTACAGTGTATTTGCATACACATGCAAACAACGTCCAATTTTGTTAATGTGATCTATATATTCAATATAAAAATCGACATTTGTTTTGTTTCTACAATTTTCCAAGTTTTAATTAAGATATGTCGTGACATTCTCAATGGCGCACACTATTTACCTAACAATATTGAGGAACGTATTACTGATGGCAACTGGTGATGATTTGCGAAATCATAGAAACAAATTGTCAACGCTATTTCGCATTATATTCAAAGCAACAGTTTTTTTGTAGGTATATCGTTATATCTATTACCACACTGAAAATTAATATTTTTGAAGAGCGTACGGCATGGTAACTTTACTACACTAGTGCAATGAACTACTAGGTACTTTTCACATTACCACGCGCGTCAGAGTTGGCATACATATGCCTCACCTTCTTGAAAACCATTTGTAATGAATCGCAGCATTGAATGTGCAATGGCAGCCCCAACTTATCCTTAGGCAATTTTCATATTTTGCATGATTTTTCAACAATGCAATAAATGGATCGGACTTCTGCATTTTCACAAAGAAACAGATATTTGAAGAAGGCGTGCGGTGAAGTTTCATTACCACACTAGTGCCTTGACATGATTCTATCGCACACTAGTGTCTCATGTCTCATTTTTGTGAGCAATAAATCACTTGATGTAACTATGTTTTTGAAAAATACAAAATTTGACATAACTGATTCCTAGAAGAAACCTCGTCAACGCCTTTTTGCGTTATTCTCGAAAACTGCAATTACTGAATCCCGTATGGAGCAGACTTTTGCATTTTTATAACGAAACAAACATTCATTCAAGAACACATGCGGTGAAATAACCTTATCACACTAGTGCAGTAATGTTACTTTATTAGGGCCTTTTTGCACTAATTTCGAACATTGCGATAACTATGAATCCAATATTAAGCAGATTTTTGAATTTTCACAACTAAACGAACATTACAAAATAGCGTACAGTGAAGTAACATTACCACACTAGTGCGGTAAGATGGCTTTACTACACTAGTGCGGTAATATGACTGCCTCACTAGTGCGGTAAGGTACACTTTACTGCACGCGACAGCCAAAATGAATGTCTCGACGTTTTCGAGCAATAAATCTACCCTCACAATCAACTCCGTAACGCCCTGTATAGAGATGTAAACGGCCATATGCGAGCCCATGGCAGTTTCTAACGTGCAGTCGCAACCCCAACTCAGTCCGAGACGATTTCCACGAAATTTCTCGAAAGTACCCAGCGATTTTTTTCTAAGGTGTAAAATTTTACAGGCATATATAGCTGATGGATGAAAAAAACTCAACACTTTGCAATAACTGAATCCAGCACGAAACAGACTTGCGAAACAAACAATTTAAAAATGCGTGCGGTCAAGTAGGTACCATCACCACACGGTAACGTAACTTTATCACACTAGTGTGATAAATGAAGCTTTACCGCACGCGACATCCAAAATGAGGTACCTATATAGCTCATCTTTGTGAGCAATGAATTACTATATGTAGTAATTTTTTTGAAAATTTGACATATGATCGAACGAAAATAACCACATGAACGACATTTTGCATTATTCTTGAACACTTTGCAATAATTGTATCCCATATGAAGCAGACTTTCAAAATTTTATGAAATAACGAATATTTCAAGAAAACGTGCGGTAATGTAACATTACCACACTAGTGCAGGAATGCGACTTTATCACACAAGTGTGATTAAATACGGTTTACCGCACGCGACAGCCAAAATGAGTGCCTCGCATTCATGAGCAATAATTCACCCATCACAATCGCGTGTGGAACGCCCTGTACAGGTACAAACGGTCACGCAGAAAAGAAATATGACCCATTTAGGGCGAATTTTCTGGATTGATCGCGGCACGCGGAATCCATCACGCAACGAGAATAACGCGAGCCCATGGCAGTTTCTGACTTGCAGTCGCAACCCCAACTCACCCCGAGACAATTTTCACGAAATTTCACGAAAAGTACCTATCAATTTTTTTCAGACTGTAAAATTTGACAGGCATATAGCTGATGGATGACAAAAAAACTCAACGCCTTTTTGTATTATTTTCTAACACTTTGCAATAACTGAATCCAACACGAAACAGACTTGCGGAACAAACATTTTAAAAAAGCGTGCGGTCATGTAACATCACCACACGGTAACGTAACTGTATCACACTAGTGTGATAAATGAAGCTCCACCGCACGCGACAGCTAAAATGAGGTACAGCTCATATTTGTGAGCAATATGAATTACTATATGTAATTATTTTTTGAAAAATTGAAAATTTGACACTTGATCGATAGAAAATAACCACGTCAACGACATTTTGCATTATTCTTGAACACTTTGCAATAATTGTATCCCATATGGAGCAGACTTTTAGAATTTTATGAAAGAACAAATATTTCAAGAAAACGTGCGGTGAAGTAAAATTACCACACTAGTGCGGTAATGCTACTTTATTACACAAGTGTGAAAGGTACAGTTTACCGCACGCGACAGCCAAGATGAGTGTGCCTCGTATTTATGAGCAATAATTCACCCCTCGCAATCGTTTCCGGAACGCCCTGTACAGGTACAAACGGCCACGCAGAAAAGAATATGACCCATTTAGGGCGAATTTTCTGGATTGATCGCGGCACGCTGAATCCATCACGCAACGAGAAAAAAGCGAGCCCATCCCATGGCAGTTTCTAACTTGCAGTCGCAACTCCAACTCACCCCGAGACAATTTCCACGAAATTTCCATTTTTGTATTATTTTTGAACACTTTACAATTGTAGCATCCAATACGAAACAAACATGTAAAAAAGCGTGTGACCAAGTAATATCACCACACGGTAACGACGTGACTATCACACTAGTGAGATAAAGGTAGCTTTACGGCACGCGACAGCCAAAACGAGGTACCTATAGCTCATTTTTGTTAGCAATGAATTGCTATATTTAGTTATTTTCTGAGGAATTAAAAATTTGAAACTTGATTGATAGAAAATAACCACGTCAACGACATTTTGCATTATTCTTGAACACTTTGCAATAATTGTATTCCATACGAAGCAAACTTTCAGAATTTTATGAAAGAACAAATATTTGAAGAGAACGTGTGGTAATGTCGCATTACCAAACTAGTGCGGTAATGCGACTATCACACAAGTGTGATAAAGGTAGCTTTACCGCACGCGACAGCCAAAATGAGGTACCTATAGCTCATCTTTGTGAGCAATGAATATGTAGTTATTTTCTGAGGAATTAAAAATTTGACACTTGATCGATAGAAGATAACCACGTCAACGACACTTTGCAATAATTGTATCCCATACGAAGCAGACTTTCAGAATTTTATGAAAGAACGAATATTTCAAGAAAACGTGCGGTAATGTAACATTACCACACTAGTGCGGTAATGCGACTTTATCACACAAGTGTGATAAAATATGGTTTACCGCACCCGACAGCCAAAATGAGTGCCTCGCATTCATGAGCAATAATTCACCCCCCACAATCGCGTGTGGAACGCCCTGTACAGGTACAAACGGCCACGCAGAAAAGAATATGACCCATTTAGGGCGAATTTTCTGGATTGATCGCGGCACGCGGAATCCATCACGCAACGAGAATAACGCGAGCCCATGGCAGTTTCTGACTTGCAGTCGCAACCCCAACTCACCCCGAGACGTTTGCGATTCTGTCCCGGCCGAAATGCGCGCCCTGTGTTTGCTCTCGATCGCGTTCTGTTGTGCCGCTCGCGGGGCCAGGAAGCCGATTTCTCTGCCGGGCCAGGGAGATATACAGGGTGTGGAGGTGTCTCAGCTGAGGGTGCAGAAGATCGTGGCCTACTATGGGATTCCTTATGCCCAGCCGCCGTTGGAGAATCTCAGGTGGTGGTGATTGTGTTTGGGCGGGAAGAAGTTTTTTGCTTGATTGGCTTGGCCGTCTCTGGTGAATGTAGATACTTCAGAAATCATGAGATTCTTGAAAACGCCGCATATGTTTTATTTCTGCTTCGAAGAATTTTATAAAAAGTTCAATATAAAAAAAACCGTTTATTGTCCAAACAGGTATTACGCCCAATTACAGGACAAGCAACATAATCAACACAGCAAACTTAGTACAAGAATGATAAATAATAAGTTACAATTGAATATAAATTTACATCTCAATTCTGAAGAGAGTAAATCTTAAACAATTTTTGAAACATCCTATTGATGTTGAAAATAGATCTATTTGATCGCAGATATTATTAAAATTCTTACAGATTCGGTATACGGGAGACTTGGCTATTATATTTGTTCTTGGTGTTGTTAGATAAAAACATGTTTCATTTCGGTTATTCAAGCGAGGCACATGGAAGTTGAGTTGTGACAATAGATCTGGGCAATCCACAAGATTATGTGTAAGCTTATAAATACATGAGTAATACTTTCTTCATCTTCGGCCTTCGAGAGACACTAACGAAAATCCGAGCGAAAATCTATTCAGCAGTGAAGCGTTGTCTATACCCTGTTCAGGGTATATCCCATAAACATACCGACAAACTTCAATGGATGGTAGAGGACATCAAAATAAACATTTTTGCTCGATAAACATAAGTCCGGAAACTCTTCGTTTTCAAGATACAGAAAATGATTAAAAGTCATTAATAATAGTTAATAATTAGTAAAAAGAAGTTATTGGAAGTTTTTTTAGTTTTTCAATATTTCAATAAACGCATTGGTAAAATGTAAGGTATAATTTTGAAGCATCTAATTTTTTTTTTCATAGATGTAAGAGATATGGTTTTTTTTTCTTCAAAACGAAGGTAGATACGGAAAAATTTCAGGGAACAAAAGAGTTGCATTTCTAGTTGTTCTTAAAAAAAAATTATCATAATCACAAAATATCTACTGGGCGATATTTTTTTTGCTTTTGCGCAAAAACTATTCGACATAGCCCGTGGCCACGCCCCTGAAATTATTGGGCAGATTCTAATAGCTCCAAAAGATACCTTATGAATGTATCAATAATCTGTGAAAATTTCATTGAATTCGACTAGATCGTTTTTTTTTAAATTTAACACCCTGTATCTAGAAAACGAAGAGTTTCCGGACTTATGTTTAGCGAGCAAAAATGTTTATTTTGATGTCCTCTATGTTTATGGGGCACCCTGTATATGTGGAAAAATATATTTTGTCTATTATTCGTAACAGAAATATAGGACAATATTCGAATTCGGGGCGAAACTTTGAAGAACGATATTTCAGGATCGTCTTGATATATTCGCCTGGAGTTCACCAGCAATTTACCTCTACTGACACCCCATACGATGAGCTACTATATGAAAGGAAAATTCCAGAGCCGGACTTGGAAAACCCATTTTCTCAATAAATGTCAAAATTTCCACTTTCTGGATCGTATTTTTCAAAAACTTTTATCAGAACCAGAAAGACCAGGAAAAACCCTACAAATGTAGCTTTTCAATTTGTATGGCACACTTCGACCGGATTGGTGAGAAAATATCAAACAAGATTCAGACGAATATTAATTCGATTTTGTCCGGGCCATTACTCTCTACATTTGACTAAAAGTAGTCGAATCAGTTTTTTCGAATATTGATATAATAGCAGAGTTGAGCGAAAGTATTATCAAAAAAATCAGGACCGGACTTGGTTTTTGGAAACGAACAAGATTTATCTGTATATCCTAGTATTTTTCAACGAAGATTCTCAAAATATGCCCTTCTCCCCAATTACTAAACATTCTCTACATATCTTCGGAAGATGGTTTTTTGAATAATTCGCCATTTCCGATCATATCTGAATCTGTATATCTATCCTCTTCCTCAGTTCCTCGCTGGTGTTGACTTCAGTCTGATATACCAATAGTTTATATGTCTCCATAGATAATAGTCTGATACTGTGAGATTAGGGGACCTATAGGAGGCCAAGAATGAGGGTCGCCACGACCTATCCAGCGATTAGTGAATTGTTTGTCTAGGTATTCTCTCACTTGTATTAAGTAATGTGTAGGTGCCCCATCCTGTTGAAAGAAAATACCTATTTCAATCCATTTTCATACATCTATCACAGCCTTCTTTTTTCGTAGTGTTTTCTGAATAATAAACACCAAACTCATTCGGAAAGAAATATTTCACCTAAGTAATATTTTTTTTGTTTTTTATCTCTTGGAGCGCTTGAAAGGTGATTCATATAATTGATTTTTTTTAATTAGCTACTTATTTCCATGTTCTGAAAAGTCTTCAAGAGAAGTAAGTCCGGTCCTAGAATTCCTCATCGAAAACATTCTCTTTCCAACACCTATAAAACACCGATATACAAGAAATGGATTTGAATTAATTTGTTTAACGATGTGACAATGGCCAGTACGAAATCATGGAATCGTTCATCAGTATTTTGTTCGATATCTTTTCAAGAATCCGGTCAAAGTGTGCCGTACAAGTTGAATAGCTTCACTTGTACTGTTTTTCCTGATCTTTTTGATTCTGAAGAAAGTTTTCGAGAAATACGGTCCCTTAAGTCGAAATTTTGACATTTGAAAAGATATTGAGTTTTCCAAGTCCGGCTCTGGAATTTTTATTCCATAGTAGGCCATTGTGTGGTGTGTCAGTAGAGGTGAATTGCTGGTGAATTTCAGGCGAGAATATCAAGACGTTCATGAAATATCGTTCATCAAAGTTTCGCCCCGAATTCAAATAATGCCCTGTATTTCTGTTACAGATGGGCAAAATATATTTTTTCACATATACAGTATGATGCAAATGTATGGAATAAATTCATTTCAAAACAAGACGACTTTCGAAAAAAAACCAAAAACTAGAGTTTAGAACTTTTTTTTCGACGTATTTTTTCAACTAGACGACCCTTCGATGTTCAATTCTCAGTAGCAGACCTCTGCAAGATTCAATTAATCACATGATAATCCATTTTAATTTCAATCTTCTTATGCAACATTTTGACTGTTGAATAGACGATCGGTAGACCTTTCAATCAAGACGTGTCACATGACCCCTATTTGTATTTGAAAAAATCGTCCATTACGTCTTTACTCCAACACCGGTGACGTAACATCTCTCATATGAATATCATAAGATGAGGCTTCAGAAATTAAAACTCACGTGTTTTTGGAATTTTTTCAAATGTCGCCAATTTCTGAAATGATGAATTTATTCCATACATTTGCATCATACTGTATATCAACTCACATTGACTTCCTCTATCTACTTTTAGGCTATGGCTGGTTACTCATGACTCACCCTGTATATAAATATTTGATTGGCGTTTTCCTGAAAATGTTAACCCGGCGTCACCCAGGTGGAAAATCTGTACATTATCACCCAGGTGGGGTCTGATGTACCCCATAATTATAGAAACACGAGGAAAAAAAACGTTAGGAATATTTCCAGATTTGTATGTAAAATGAGTTTTTAGATGAATTCACTTCATAGTTATAAACAAAAACTTTTTATAATAAGTTTGATTCATGAGATATCATCAATAACATATAAAATGGCGAAATTCCCACGAGAAAAAACATGATATCTTCGAAAACTGTTCCAAAAATATACAACACTTAATTCTGGAAGATTTCATTCAAAACTAATTATACAGGGTGACATTTTGAAAACTTACTCTCTATACATCTAACTTTCATCGTCATTTTCATCATTGTAACTACCATTTATATGCCGATGATACGCAGGTTTATTTTTCTTTCAAATTAAAAGATATTCAGAATGCTAAATTTGAGGATCAATCATGATCTATCAGAACTTGGATCATTATCTGTGAAACATCTCTATAAATATAAATACCTCAAAGTCCTGTGCTGTTTTGTTTGGTAGTGAGAGTTAGAAAATAGCGGCGAAGAGCCAGTTGCAAATTTTCATTGGAGATGACCAACTGGACTTCAGTGAACAAGTCAAAAACCTTGGTCTGAATTTAGACTCAAAGTTAAGGTTTGAGAAACATGTTACAATGAAAATTAGAACAGCTTATGCTTCTCTCAAACTTTTGTATCCTCATAGACATAACATGAATCCACTTACAAAGAAAATGTTATGCGATTCTTTGGTGTTGTCTCATTTCAATCATTGTGATACAGTATATGGCTTTTTTTACGCAAATCAGATGCATATCGCATACAGAAAGTCCAAAATTCATGGAATAAGAAAAAGAGATCGTATATCTCATAAACTCAAGGAAATGGGTTGGTTGAGTATGTACAATCGTCGTAGACTTCATTCGTATTGCCTTTTCTATAAAGTACTGAAAACTAAACAGCCAGAGTATCTCTTCAGGAAAATCACGTATAGGACTGATATTCACAAATTAAACCTGAGAAGAAAGCATGGTATCAATATACCTTCGCATAATAAAGAAATTTATCAAAAAGTCATCTTTTTCCTATCAGATTGCGACTGTGAGCCATTCTCTGGATATACCGAATTTCTCCCTATCATTGAATTGTGTCTTTTCTTTATATTGCACCTATGTGCCTTCGTTCTTACTGAAAGAGGTCTCTTGGTTTCACCTGTATAAAACTTTCAGTATAATTATGTATAGTCCTCCGAAAGATTCACATCCTAGTATGCATTATTTCAAGATTTCAGCTAGTCAATCAATTATATTCACACAATACATAGCAAAACTACATACCGAACACTGCAAGGAGAGCATCTTCCGATAAGGCCTGGTTCAGTAGAAAATGCTCTAGAGCTGTCGCTTCCAAACAGGCAGCATATTCCATCGATGGCAGAAAAATCCAGGCCCTGAGACTAGAGCAGGATATGTCGAGGATAGAGGCATATGCGATGAGACAATTCGATCATCAAAGGATGCTCATAATGCCAAAATAATATCAAAACTTGTTGAATGTCCTAACGGATTCCGTTCATTTTGGTCCTTCGCCAAAGCTGTAGGAAGAAACGTAACTTCCAACTCGTTTCCTCCTCTAACCAAGGAAGATGGAACACTAGCCACAACTGCCCAGGAGGAAGCCAACATTTTTGCGTATTTATTTGCTGAAAATTCCATTCTGGACTCATCAGGAAAACAACCTCCAAACATAACGCCAATTGACAGTCATATGCCCGAGATAACCTTTCGCCAACGTACTATAAGGAAGATTTCATTGGGTCTCATCACCAACAAAGCTTGTGGCTCCGACGGAATCCCACCGATTGTTCTCAAGAAATGTGCTCCAGGACTAACACCTGTTCTCTGCAAGTTATTTGACTACTCTTACGAATTGGGGATATTCCCGTCCAACTGGAAAATTGCAAGAGTACAACCAGTTCCTAAAAAAGGCAAAAAGACCCTACCTAGCAACTACAGACCGATCGCACTGCTATCTATCATTTCAAAGATCATGGAGAAAGCTATCAACATCGAGCTCATGAAATACCTGGAACATTCAGGTATCGCCAAGCTTCCATCCTATGGCTTGCCTCCCCAGCTATATTTTTTGCTAGCTAGTTTTCTCTCAAACAGGTCTCTCCATGTAGTGGTCGACGGAGGAATTGGAGGAATCTGACTCTCTTATCATAAATGCTGGTATTCTGCAAGGATCAATTCTAGCACCAACACTAGTTCTACTCCATATCAACGATTTGTTGGAAGCAACTTCATGTCCAGTACACAGCCCCGCGGATGATAGTACCCTCCATACCGCCTTCTCTTCCAGGGCTCCAATACCAGCTAGGCAAATCAGAAACGAAAGAGGGAGAAATGTTGACAACATAAACATGGACTTGGCAACAATTCTCGAATGGGGATCCAATAACTTGGTATATTTCAATGCAAAAAAAAACACAAGCATGCCTTTTCTCTAGAAAAGCCGATCTCACTGTGCCCAACATATGCTTGTCAGGAGAAACCATACCTTTGAAGACATCCATTTCGATGCTTGGTATTACTATCAGCAATAACCTTTCTTGGGAAAATCACGTGAGACCAATTTCTGAAAGTGCATCCCAAAAACTTGGTTTTCTGTTTCGGGCCAGGAGCTATTTCACTTCCAGTCAGCTGCTTATGATCTAAAAGGCACAGATCCGACCTGTCCTGAAATACTGCTCCTATATTTGGAGTGCAGCACCCAAATATACCCTGAAACTGTTGGATTCTGTCCAAAAAAGGCAATTCGCCTCGTGGGTGATGCCTCGCTCACAAACTCACTCACTTCTCTGGAACACCGTAGAAAAGTTGGCGATCTGGCTCTATTTTATAGATATTTTCATGAAATATCAACAATTGTTCCTCGCTTGGCGCGAGAGATTAACCCGTCGAATTGAGGCTTCGCACCCCTTCGTGGTCACTTTGGAGACCTGCAGAACATCTCTTTTCAAAGACTCGTTCATCCAACGAACAGCGAGGCTCTGGAACATATTGCCAAGAGAGGTGTTCCCCGAGGCATATAACCTCCAGAAATTCAAGAAGAACACCAATTTCTACCTTATTTTCCTTGGTTCTCACGATGTTCTCTGAACATTACAGGATATTCCTTTTCGTGGGAGCCATGCAGAACATAAAAAAATAGCATATATTTTCATTTTTTGCATTCAAGTAGTGAATGGAAGATATTGAAACTTGAAATATGTGGCTCCCAGAGGTACCTACCTACCTATATAAATCGATCCAAAAAATGCCTATGATAAAATTTTTTTAAGTATTAGTTTTTATCGCAGTATATAAGTTATGGCAAAGGCGATGAATCTTGAAATAACGCATAACAGGGTATAAATAAGCTTTAGGAGAAAAAATGTTTTGAAAATATCGGCCGATACGTTATAAAATAACGAATTGTCGCCACAGAAGTGAAACACCCTGTAGATCACGCATGATAAGGGCGAATTCACCCATAGGTTCGCGCCCCCAGTGACCGACGACCTGCCGAGCTGGAATGACGTGAAACAGGAGAAGGACTACCCGCCATCTTGTCTGCAAATCGTCAACGACTACAAGGAGACCGAGAAGCCGTTCTTGCAGCTCATCTCGAAGCTGAACTTCACCATAGCCGAGGACTGCCTCTATTTGAATATTTTCGTGCCTAACGGTGAGTTCCAGAATAACACCATATATTCCTTGACTGTTCATCGAATATTCCACTTGAAATATTCTTTTTGGAATATTCCTTTCGGAACAGTCCCTTCGGAACAATCCTTTTGGAATATTTCTTTTGAACAATTTCTCTTGGAATATTTTTTGTTCGAATATGTTTTGGAACATTCCCTATACATTCAAAACATATTCCAGGGAGATTACTAGATGAATAATTGAATGTTCGTGGAATATTCCATGGAAACTTTCGTGAAAAAACTGTCCTAACACAGACTCGAAGCACAAATTCACCATGCATAGCCGAATGCCTCTATTTGAATATTTTCGTGCCTAACGGTGAGTTCCAGAATAGCACCAGATATTCCTTGACTATTCATCGAATATTCCACTTGAAATATTCTTTTTGAAATATTCCTTTTGGAACAGTCCTTTTGGAACAATCCTCCTGGAATGTTTCCTTTGAACGATTTCTCTTGGAATATTTTTTATTGGAATATGTTTTGGAGCATTTCCTATACATTCAAATAATGATAATAATAATGATAATAATGATATGCTTCATTGTCTGAAGAAGAATCTTGTTGACAAAGCTAGGTCAGATAATATTATACAAAAAGGTTAAAATATAACGACATGAAAATACGAGACAATATAGTCAAAATAAATACCACATTAAAATACTGAAATATTACAATTCAAACGTATCACTATAATATTCCTGCAAACTGTAATAGGGTCTTATCAGAGAGGAACTTTTTGACTATCTTTCTGAATTGATAGTCATTCAGACTTGCTGACCTTATATCAACTGGCAAGTGGTTTTACATTTTCCCACCATTATAGTATATGGAATCTTTAATCTGGAATCTTGTGGGTAGAGGAAGTTTCAAACTGAAATTGCTATATTCTAATCCGTATTCGCTTGCCGGTCGTGGGTTCGATTCCCATCGACTGCAGAAATTTTTCTGATGGCCCAAGAAAGTGTTTGGGATCACACATTAAAAGGTAAGGCCCCAGTCATTCCTTGCTCGCACAAGACTCTTGAAGACTTATTCTGAGGGTTGCTCCGTAAAGGGGCAATAACCGAATGACGGATAGAACAATAGAACAATTTAAAAGCTGTCTTGAGACGGTTCGAAGCAGAATTTTACCATAGCCAAGAACTTCTTCTATTTGAATAATTTTGTACTTAACGGTGAGGTCCCAGTAGGCATTTCAGACACCAGGTACTCCTGGACTGTTCATGGATTATTCATTTTGTAATATTCTCAAGCAAGTCGAGGATATACATATCGTACATGGGATATTATCCATGAATTAGTTTGTGGTGGAGACTGAATAATACATTCGCCGAATATTCCATAAGGAATATTTAGATACTATTCGGAATATTCCAGTAGAAGAATGGGTGTTTCCCTGTTTTTTGCATGCAATATTATCCATCCAAAAAGGACTTTTGTGGTTGTCAGCTTTTTCTCTCCACCCGTTCAACGAAATCGATTACTCACATTTTGCGAACTTGACAAACACATCGTAATGAAGTCCTGGATAAAAATAAAACAAGTATAATCTGGATAACCTTGATAAACCGCTGTGTTTTTGTTTTCCACACCAAGCCTACCCTTATCTTCGTCGCGATAGCGAGAAGCAACTCTTTTAGCCAATCAAAATTTGTCTTGGCTGCTTGAATGGGAGAGTTTTATTTTGTTGACGTACAGATGATTGTTATCCAGATCCGAGATTTACCTAGGCTATACAATATCTGGATATACTCAAAACACGCGATGGTTCAGTGGCGTAGTTTTAGGTAAGCATATACCCATATAGCACTGGATAATCATGGAATATTATTTTATCAATCATCAGGAAGAATGATAAGAAAGAATATTCCTCAGTACCTATAGTAAAATATCTTCATACGATTATTATACAGGGTGAGTCATGAGAATTTTGAATATTTCATTGATGATGCTTGTTTGTGTGCTTTGAAAATTCCCTGATGATCTTTTTGTTATAAATCAAACTATCAGAATTCTTCAAGAACGGTCCTGGATTTTCCCGATTCTGAATAATCAGTCGATTAGAGAGTAGTAGCGGAATATTGAATGAATAAATCAGACGAATCGAAGAAGCTGTTGAAAAGTTATGATCAAAAGATGTTTTTGCCAAATCTCACCCTAACAACACAGGGATGTCCTAGGTACGTCCCTTTTTTGTCCTGCGATACATGGACATTATTGGGGCATCCAGGGGATGTCGCGCAGTAGTTGTCCAGTGGACATCCCGCCCGGTACATCCCTAGGTTATCCTATTCGTGTCCCTGGAATATCTGATATTCATTCACATCAGATCGAGTCATTGAATTTCATCAAACTATGGAGTTGATTTTTTTTGAAAATGTTTGTTTTTCTTCTGGAAAATAATTGTAATGAAAATAAAGAATAAAGTCTCATACCTCAGAAATGATTTTTCGCAAACAGAAATCGTACATGTCTAATGCCTCTCATTTTTAAACACTCAAGAATGATAATAATTATACCCAAATCCTAACAAAGTTGTATTTATTCAGGTTTCTGTAGTCAAGTCCTGTTCATAAATCTGTTTAGTACATAAATCTTCAGGAGGCATAATAGCCAATGAAGTAAGGTGCGTGCCTGATAAGCTAAAGGTCCCGGTTTCAATCCCTACTCGACCTACATTTTTTCCTTTTGTCGAAGGGTTGTCCCTGGAATATCCTTGGGACGTCCTAGGGATATCATTTCTTCGTACTTGGTACATCCCAGGGATGTACCTGAAGGACATCCCTTGGATGCCTTCTTTGGCGGCCAGCGGATGTCCCTGGGTCATCCCTTTTAAGTATGTACGTTGTCCCGACAAAGGACATCCCTGGGATGTCCTAGTATGAAATCAGGGACGTCCCTGGGAAGTCCCTAGAATGTACTGGTGTTGTTAGGGCATAATTCACCCTATATATTGGAAAAGAAGTGGAGAAGACACTTTCTGATGGACATTCGGTATTCCCCTCAGGGGCCTCCATTCGTGGTAGGAGTATGTAGGGACATGACTCACCTTGTATATCTACCTCACGGTCCTATTCACACGTGAAATCTATCGGATTTCAAGAATAATTAATTTAACAACAGCAAATGACAGTTGTTGTCAACTCACTCCCCGCGCGGACCAGGGTTGCCAGTTCAATTTTTATTTCATCAGTAAATATCTTGTTAACAATTCAGATCTATTTAATAATATACGAATTGCAAGAAATGATAATGAAATTAACCTATGACGTCAAAACATTGTGTACTTTTGGTGAACAAAAAAGTAACCTATTTCCAACAAAATATAGAAACAAACAAAACAAACAATCTCAAAAAAAATCATATTCCTAATTCTCAATTTCAAAATACCCACAAATATCACATAATACAGTTACATAGGTGTATATACAGTGTGTCCCACTTACCATGCATGCTCACCATGGGTATCTTTTTAACGGTGAGAGATACGAGGTAGGTTGAATGACACCATATGTGGAGTTTGTCAAGGCCAACTATAATGTAAAAAAAAATTTTGATAAAATCTATTCGTTTCTGTTTTATAGGCAAAAAACAGATTTTGATCATTTTCATGTCTCCTCGGTAACTTCTTTATTTATGAAAATATTCAAATAGGAATTTCACATTCTCATGGCAGTTTTTCAAAGTGTTTTCGAAAAAAATATGAAATTTATACCAAATCTTCTAGAATTTGAGATATCAGCACCAACTTTAGTTTTTCAAATGTAGGTCATAGCTATGACTTAGTTACAAATAATTTTTTTTTCTCTTCCAGATGATATGTCGCAGTAATAGTTTTGTGTTGATAACAACGGAGTTATCGTCATTTATACAAGAACAAAAAATTATTTGGAAGCCGCCATCTTGAATTTATAAATTTTAACAAAAAAATCATGATCTCCGACCTCAAAAACCCCCACTTACCAATTTTGAATGGAATCGGACCAAATCTTGTCTGCCATATTGGAGCAGCCATTTTTTTTTAATTTCAACAAAAATTCCATAATGTATTGACACCGAAATTATGAACACCTGTCAAATTTCAAGTTAATCGGAGTTATGGAATTTTTGTTGAAATTGAAAAAAATGGCTGCTCCAAGATGGCGGACAAGATTTGGTCCGTTTCCATTCAAAATTGGTGAGTGGGGGTTTTCGAGGTCGGAGATCATGATTTTTTTTTAAATTTATAAATTCAAGATGGCGGCTTTCAAATAATTTTTTGTTCTTGTATAAATGACGATAACTCCGTTGTTATCAACACAAAACTATTACTGCGACACATCATCTGTGAGAGAAAAAAAAGTTATTTGTAACTAAGTCATAGTGAGCTATGACCTACATTTGAAAAACTAAAGTTGGTGCTGATATCTCAAATTCTAGAAGAGTTGGTATTAATTTCATATTTTTTTCGAAATCACTTTGAAAAACTGCCATGGGAATGTGAAATTCCTATTTGAATATTTTCATAAATAAAGAAGTTACCGAGGAGACATAAAAATGATCAAAATCTGTTTTTTGCGTATAAAACATAAACGAATAGATTTTATCAAAATGTTTTTTCACATTATAGTTGGCCCTGACAAACTCCACATTTGGTGTCATTTAACCGACCTCATATCTCTTACCGTTAAAAAGATATCCATGGTGAGCATGGTAAGTGGGACACACTGTATAATATTTGAGTATATAAAAAACATGAACGAATAGTAAAAATGAACAGCAAAGATACTGAACAAATGAAAAAATTAAACGTAAGAAATGAACTGTTATAACAGAAAGAAAAAAAGAATTTGATCTGAATCAGATAAAGTATATTGTTTTTTGATTCATACATATCATTATTAGCTATATGTTAATCTATTACTTATTTTGTGAAATTGATTTGAACAGATTGTGCCGAAATATCAAGCAATTTATAAGTGTATGTGAAGGACTA